TATTATTATTAGGATTATTATTATCATTATTATTATTATTATTATTATTATTATTAGGATTATTATTATCATTATTATAATCATTATAATTATAATAATAATTATAATAATACATTTTATTTATAAGCGTTTTTCTAAATACTCAAACACACAAAACAACATCAAATAGTAAAACACTAAAAACACATCAGACTAAGCTAAACATTAAAAGCTATTTATTTATTATTATTAATAATAATGGGGTCCATAAACTGTGTTGGAATTGCATAAATTGGGAATGACAGGAAGTCAGAAAGGCCCCAGTGTGTAGGATGGCAGCCTCTGTAGAAGTGGATCCACTCCCTCTGTAAATAAAAACTAATACTTCTAAAGAAACAAAACCACAGTGATTCTTACTTTCAGGTGATTATAAACTAATGAAAACAAACCTATGAATCTATGGACCTTTAACTCAGCTGTTTATGACCATTGACATTTGTTTTTAAAGGAACAGAAAGTAGTTCCACTGAATCCTGTTCAGGTGAATCATAATATAACTTACAATAAAAAGAGAACCTGATGTTTACTTTATAAACAGTGTACTTCCTTTCTTAAGCATGATTAAAACCTCTTACAGTTTACAAGACCAGATGAACTTGCTGAAGATGCAATATTATTCCTTTTTTTTAATCTTATCTCAGTTAACATTGTGCTGTAGAGCATATTACTATACAGGTTTACTGATCAAATTCCCCTAAACTAACTAAAACACACAGAATTTAGGCCTTTTCGGACCCCTGAGGTGATACTCAGTGATACTCAACTTAAGGCCAGAGCTGTACTCTTATTTTCTAATTCACAATAAAAATAAATAGATCATCAGCAAAGGGGCCTCATAAATGTCTGGCCACCCCAGTTTGTTGTCAGATTCTGTCAAATTTAACTAATTCATTTAGTTTAATCTCAAGATTAAATGACAGGCTTAAGTTAAATGAAAAAAGACATGTATTTGGAAGAATGTCTGAAGATTTGGGGGAAAGAATCCACCTTTAGATATTTTTATTCTTTACTAATGTGCCACAATAATGCTTTTGAATTCAAATCTCTTCATTGTTTGTGTTTAAATCAGCAGATATTTCTGCCACTCCTTAAAGCTTCCACGCCAACCCTCTGGAAATGTTGAAAGACTGAGAATGAAAAGAAACGACTCAGTGTTAAGGTCGCTAACACCAGGCGTCATCACAAGTTGAAACATGCTAGTTTCAGTGCAGCGTTCCCGCCTGCTGGCACGACGAGAAAAGAGAAGACAATCCTAATATTCATTCATCTGATTTATTCATTGTATCTGATAGGGATGCTCGCTCATAAGTAGTTTTTAGGTCCTTGATAAAAAGAAAGTCTGAGATGTAGTGAGCAAAGATGGATGATTTAATATTCGATAAATCTGATCTAACCAAATGGAACTGACATCATCGACTTTTCAAACGTTAATTTAGTTTTTGCTTGTTAAGTTTATCAAAAAAAATCACAAACATATAAGAGTTCAGTGGACCGATCATTTATCAACTGTAATTTAATTAACCCCAATAATTCATAGTAATATAAATTTCCTGTTATCGGCTGAAAATGTATCTGCCCCGATAATTATTCTGCTTCCCCAGTATTTGATAAATGTTATTAATGTTTGTTTATTCACTGGCCCCTGGCCTCCTGTCATTGTTTAAAAGTGGCCCCTGGCCAAAGCAAGGTGGGTGTCTCTGCATGGTCTAAGACCTTTATGGCGTGGTTGGTAATCCCGCCAAAACATACTGTAACAACAAATTTTAAATAATACAGCATAATTTAACAAATGTTTGGAATGAATATATTGTAAATAACTGCCAGTGAATGAACTCAAATAAAGGCAGACTTTAAACCAGCACGTTTCTTCATGTTGTTTTGGTTTCCAGTAGCTCTGATCCGGGTTACGAGGTAGACTACAGGCTGAAGGGAGGTTTGTTTCTCTTCCCTTCGGCTCGCACAGCCTGTGAAAGTCCCTCACACCAACATGTGGGAATGTTCATTGCATCACTAAAAAGGAATCTGAAATGATGTTACGCTCCCTGTAGGGAAGCACTTGCTCAGATTCACGTCCAGAGTCCCCTGGAAAACACAAATGGTAGAAGGCCTGGACTGTTTATCATCAGCAAGACGTGTGTTGCAGAAGGAGAAAGAGGACAAACTGTTCTGGGAACAGATCCTCAATGTTTGTTTTATATCTTACTTGCACGACTGGTTGGGTGGAGTTTATCAGCATCATGACAGTGATAGAAGAAATACTTTAAAAACATGATGCAAAATATACAACTTGATATCACTGCAGTAGAGGTGCTGGATTCAAACCCAGTAACCAGTGGTGGAAAGTGCATTTACTCAAGTTCTGTACTGCAGTCATATTCAGTGGTTCACTATATCCTGACAGTAGCACACGAGACAGATAGTCTGTGAAACAATCAGAGATACTGGAAATGAGGCTCAACAATCAGCTATCTTTAAGCCTCTAACTCAAAGCTTCTTTATATCTTTCTCGGCTCTGATTGGTTACTTTCGTTCGGGCCCAGTGGATTCTTGCAGATGTCATTAGGAGCACTAGGAGGAGCCAGAGGAACCTAAACGTTATTTTTTATAAAAGTTACCTACTGCAGCTGTAAGTCTGTAGTGGTCATTTTTTGGTTTTTGCTCTCCTGTAATGTTGGTCAAATGTCACTTACCTTATTTTTTTTGTGATTGTTGTTTCACAGCAGCAGTGTTTATTGGGCTTTTTTTTTTGCAAATAAATTGTTGGAGAAAGTGAAAATTGCTAAAAAAAAGTAGCACTTGTCTGTGTATAATTCACAACCGGTCCCAGTGGTGGTGTTTTGTTTGTATGTATGTTGTAATCCATGCCCAACACAATACACATCCCTGCCACCAGCTGTATGCTAGAAAAGATGTAAATATTGCAAGATGTAAAAAATATATAACAGCTGTTTGTTAATAAGAAAACTCCACAGTTACACCTGCATTGTTATGTAATCTTAAGGTACAACAGCCTGTTTAAAAGCCTTTATTATTTCAGTTTAAATTGTACTTACATGTGCACATTCCTACAGTAATTTGTGCTTAATTGAGTTTCCACAATGTGATTACTAATTACAAACTAACACATGCACACTGCACGGACAGTGGGGGAAAGGGGGGGGGGTCATTAAGGGGTTTTTCTGGCCTTGACTTCTGCAGTTCAGACAGTATGAAGTAAAACTGCATGACCGTTTCATTTGACTTTCAAATTCTTTGTGTGAACAGTCCTGCAGCCTTTGTATCATCCTTTGACTCAACAATTTCAGTTTCGTAATTTGGAGTTTTCTTTGACAAAGAGAGTCTGGGGAAGGGTCATCAGTCATTCAGTGTCATCAGACCTTTTCCAGTCATTTAATACAAACAGACAAACTGAATGAAGAAGCTGGATATTGACAGTCAGTGCAGGATGTCCCATAAAGAAAGGGGGAGGGGAGGAAGAGCTGCCACAGCACCATCTGGTGGTTCAAGCTCGACCTCACCACAGAGAATGAGATATGAGTGCTCTACACTGCAGTGCTCAATCTGCCTTCATTAATTGCACTTAAGCAAGCTGCAGCTATTTTCTCTCATCTTCATTTTCATTCACACTCTCAGGACCCTCGTCTCCTGCTTTTATAAAACAAATTCCCAGGGCAATTTCAGATTTCTATTACTTTGAATTATTTCAGCTGCCAGACTTTTAATCCGAACCAAGAGGCTTGACTCTGGCTGCCAGTATGTTTTAGAAATATAAAAATAATTATACATAAGAGCTTCACAGTAGATGAAAAATATTAATTGATAATCAGTTTTTTTGCATTTTCTTTCTTCCATTTCCCCCCTTTTTTCCCTGGAACATCCAATAGGAGTCAACAGAGGTGTGATCTCTCAACGGCTTCCCACCTTTACACACTGTTAACTGTGTTTGATACAGTTTCTGGCTGTCAGGGGTTGAAGGTGAATTTTCTGGCAGCACCCGGCAAGAGATTATTTGAGAAAACCTGACTGATTTCCCCTCTTTACACTCAGAAGTGAGTGTATAAAGGGGATTATGCAGCTTCAACAAAAGTCACTTTTAACAGGTTTTAGCTGGTAACCATTTTATTTCAGGATTACACTATTTGTGACTCCCTCATATGATTCTTTCAGGGTGAGAAAATATACTAATCTCCCTTTTTGGTGCACAGAAAAGGGTTTTCACACTTGACAACACCCTGCTGTTCATGCTGATTTCAAGAACTTTCAGGACTTTGTGGCGTCAACGTTCACATTTGCTGCTTTTATGGCTGCGACACACAAATTAGATCCACAGGAGACTGATATTATTAACACCTTAAATACCTTCAGGTTTCTCACTGCAACAGAAGGCTATTGTTAATATGTAGCACCAGAATTGGCATTAAAGTTTTTGATAAATCTTAAACTTAGAGCTCTAATGGGTAATTAGTTGACTACCAGGCTAAACAAAGCACAAATCGAGGGGTGATAACCAGAGTTGCGTATGTGACCTTTTGGGAGAAAAGGAGTTGAGAATGTCAAATGAAATGTCTTGATGAGCTATTTCTATTGCAAGAAGAGGGAATGTGTGAATTCTAAACCTATTTATCAAAAACCAAAAGACCTAAAACTGAACACACGTAACTGTTTGGGGCTAAAAGGGCGTAAGTGCACTTAAAAGATAAATGTAAAAATTTGGTTCATTAAGTATATTGTCATCCACATGTTTATGAAGTCTAATAAAGACTGAATTCAGCATAAAGTGGTCATTTGTTTTGTTTTGGCTTTCCTGTAAAGTTGGTCGCAGGCTTTTTTGGGGGGATTGTTGCCTCTAATGTCTGATTTCACAGCAGCTTTTGCATTTTTTGAAATACAAATTTTGGAGAAAGTGAAAATTGCCAAAATAGTTGAATAGATTTGTTTGTATAATTCATTAAAAATCAAAGGCAACTTGTTTCCAAGAGAATAAAATCGCTATAGTTTGGTGACATATGGATCAACATTTTGCACAGTGGACTGCAATGATGGGTCAAATTTGTGGAAATCACTGTGATTGGACAAAATTGCAGAATTCACAGGAATTGGTTGAATTCGCATTAATCGCAACATCACAAGTTCTTGGAGGGACTTACACCCCTTCTGGTTCTCAACCCTCAAAATTAACATGTATAATCATGAAAAGCCCAAAAGTATGGGCTCCATTTTCAATGTACATAATGTTCTTGCTCTCTCCTTCAATAAAGAAAAGGAGCATCATCTCCTATTGAAGTAAGCGTTTACATGGTCAGTTACACAGTAACATCCCCATTAGTGAATTCTAGAGATCCATTGTCAAGCATATTCAAAGCAAACCATTGCCCATTCATCTGGTCCCATTACGGTGGCATGCAGTCCCACAACTCATGGCAGATGCACTGGCAGAACCCGTAGACCATGATCATGACGAGGCTGGCGGGAACCAGGCTCACCAACAGCACCCCGAGCGTTGTCCTCTGCATGATGAGCAGGTAAACCCCCATGGGCAGCGAGCTGAAGTACAGCAGGCCCAGCACCCACACCAGCGCACGGGCCGAGGTCTGGCACAGGAGGGCCGCGCAGTTCCACACCGTCCACCTCTGCGTGATGGACGCCATAGAGTCCAGACTGGACGAACGGTAGCTTCGGTTTGATGCGTGGGATCCACGGTGGAGGTCTTGGGTGGATGCAGGCACCGGTGGAGGCTCCATGATGGTAATGACCACAAAGTTAGGGGAGCCCCGGATGGAGGAGTAGGTGGTGGAGGAAGAAGAAGCGGAGGAAGAGGAGGAAGGAGATGTCACAGATGGGCTACTGGCCATCAGCGAGCTCAGGCGCCTGGGGCTGAGGAGCAGCTCCGTGGTCGCCTCCTGGTGGAAGTGGAGGTTCCTCTGATTCCTGCTTTGGAAGGCCAGCGCCGCCACCAGGTTGCAGTCATCTGGCAGGCTGCTCACCACCTCGCCCGGCAGTCTGGTAATATAGCGGCAGAACGGGCATACCACGGCATTGGGAGGCGACTCACCCAGGTCCAGAATCTTAGTGAGGCATTTGGCGCACAGACGGTGGCAGCACTCCAGCACCTTCGGCCTGCGACTCCCCAGGTTGTACGCACAGTAGCAGATCTTACGCTCCAGCTCCTCTGTGTTCAGTACGTCCATGCGGCCGCAACCACCAAGACCCCCTCCGCCGTCCTCAGTGCCTTGCAGCTCAATCATCATCCTTCCGCCAAACTCTATCCTGCCTCGAGATCAACAGAAAAATCCAACCAAAAGCTCAGGTCCAGGCTCAGCAGCGAGGGACACGGCAAGTTTCCCATAGATGTTGACAGTGACAACAGTCCACTCCACTGAAGGTCTGGGGTTCATTGTAGCTGTCCAACAGGCTCCTGCAGTGTGTGTGTGTGTGTTTGTGTGTTGTGTGTTTGTGGGGTTGGTGTGTGTGTGTGTGGTGTGTGTGTGTGTGTGAGAGAAGAGAGAGAGAGAGATTTGGGAGTCGATGTGGGAAGTCCCTTGCGAGTTCTGGCCTCCGGGGTTTGCCCGCCTCTGAGCAGTTGGTGTAACGGTGCTTCGTTTGGGGCAAAAAAGCCTGCGTGAAAAAAAAAGAGAAAGAAAGTGAGAGAGACTGAAAGAAAGACACAGAGAGAAAGAGAGAGAGAGGGTGAGAGAGGGAGGGAGATAACTGTTAACACAGCATTAGAAGAGAACAAACAGAGGCGAACAACAAAGCAGAGCCTGTACAAACCAGAGCTGGAATTTTCGAGCCTGATCTTTTGTTGCTCAGTGAAATTCAGTCCAATTAGTGGCTGACACACACGCACACACACA